CTGTCAATCAAGAAGTCCCTCTCAATGTCATCAGGATAGTTCCTAGAGAACTTCCTAATGAGTTTGAGGTTCCTCTTGATTAACAGGAACTCCTTACCCGTGATGGAGTCGCTGTCCCGTCCAATGTACCGTTTGCAGAAATTTACTGCTCTTCGATACATTTTCTTGTCAGCGATCTCCTTAGCGTCAGCTTGTCTAACAGATAATGGTACCGATGAATCATCCATCTTAACGATGGGAGCCTCATCGGTGCCAGCATCTGCTTCGACAGCCAACTGCCTTAGAAGCCTCGCGACGTCACTGCAGGCCGTGGAGGTTGAGTCAACGTCTTCAACCTCGCCAGGGTTTGCCTCCTTAGTCAGCCGAGGGGACCCTCCTTGCTTCAGGGGAGACATCATGGTTTCTACCGTGCTTATCACCGTGGTTCTAATAACGGTGGTTTCCATAATGTCATCCTCGTCCGACAAGAGAGAGTCATCCCAGAGCTGATTTGGGATGCTCTCCTGACTGAGGCGGAAGGAGCCGGTTTCCTCTAGAAGGTCGAGGAGAAGATTCGACTGCCTCTCCAGGCTCGCATTAACGTCATCGAGAGATGGACAGGTGGCTAAAGATAGGTCCAGGGGAATTGCTTGGGTCGTCAACACTTTGGGGGAATCATTGATGTCTGACCTTGTAGAGTTCGGGACTGAGGGTGCCAAGGCAGCCACACCAACATCAGTCGAAGGTTCGCATTCATTGTTTTGTTTTAAAAAGTGCTGTTTGTGAGGATTTGAGGTCGATCATGGCATAGCCTCTTACCATGGCAAGGACTTGGCAACTAAGCCTGAAACACTTGTTGAGGCGCCCAGGTATCAACAAGGCTCCGTTCTAATACAGTCGGTACCCTGACTGCAAACCGTGGAACGCTGATAGGCACGAGGTCGCATGACACCCCAGCGTTAGGGGGGACACTTTAAGAAGGTAGTGTCCCAAACCTTGAGATGGATATATGGGAGGGGGCGCCATTCTCGCCTCGTCGACTCAGGGATCATTGGCACTCGGTCATTTCCTCCGAGACTCTCCCCCTGAGCCCGCTGATTGTCCGCGACTGTTTATTGGTTATTAACAGTTACCCAACGAATGGTGTTGGGCTTTCCACTATCCGCAACCTGTGGACGCGTCCGATAGCATTCAGCTTTGCTCCCCGTAGGCGGATAAAACAATGTGTTTGTTCCCGTTCGCAGAGAATTGTAAAACCTTTTCAGGTTTTGGAACAGGACAAACGTGTTTGATATATTTATCGGAAGGAAAATTGCATTTATTATTTGCTTAGAAATTGAATATCGTAAAAGTAAAATAATTAACAGTATATGTGTTCATACAAGTTTAATACCCCTTATTAAATTTTAACTTCTTTTGTTAGGCTTTATTTACATAAACAATTTTGCTAAATTTACAAATTTCAGAATTTGAATAAGAACTTTGTTTATTGCCACGAAAATGAAGCAACTTTCTAATTTGTAACGAGGCTTGCATGAAAACATAATGAATGGAATCTGCATTAAATTGAGTGGGATTAAATAAGGTATGCTTGAAAATGGTTACATTTTACCTTTTTCGTGTAAAATAAATTTAAGATTTTGATGGGGTCTGTGCAAGAAGTATCTGGAAAATTACATATGGAAAATATGTTAACTATTGATTGGTCAAGTTAAGATAATTTTTTCGTATACATTGCATAAAAAACACTTAGTTGCTAAAACCAAGACACTAACAATAAATTGAGGTTATAGTTCAAATTTTCCTTTACTTGTAATTGCGATAAACGAACGACTTCGTTTTTATTAATTATACCCTGCACAACTATTTTATGAGGGTGATTTCTGTGTGTGTGGCCCTAAGAGGTGTGGTTGGACATTCATTTGATACCAATTATATTGATGTATATAGTCTTGGAGTTGTATTAAAATATTAATAGGTGTCTATGCGTAATGAAATGTCGAGCTGCCGCTTTGAAATTTTATTTGAAGTTCCGGTTATGGTCGAAGACGACGCTTATAATTTTCCAGTAGCCTCTAGTCACTCTAGATGTCACTATTATAAGCCATACATCACAAATTTTAAACGGGGCTGGAAATCTGGTCAACTAATTAGAATCGCTGATTGATAACAAACGGTCAATATTTTTCGATTGAAATGACCAGGATTTTTGTGACTCTTATGGCGTAAATGTTCACTACCGGGAAACATTACTCGGAAATTATGCTAGGGTAAGAAAGAAGAGCTGTTAACCTCTTATCGGACAAGACGCAATATGGGCCAGATATCCCATTGTTTGGCTATAATTAGAATAGTGAGTTAGTGAAATAAATAAATATAACATATAAAGGTTTCGACAACGCTAATTACGATTCTGCAAGAAAGAATCAATAGGGTGTAATGAAAATGGCGGTCAAATTTTCAAAATTGAATTAAACAAATTATTTTTAAATACGCTCTGGTCACTAATTACAAATGTGAAATCAGATTTTGATAATCAAATAAAATGTATCCAAATCGTTGGCTTATATATTAAACTATGACTTGTCTTATATAAATTTGAAATATAGCCGATTTGGTTAAAAAACGTTCTTAAAATACTCAAAATACTGAATAATGGGGGTCCGTTTTGTTGTGCCTACCCCATAACATAAATCAATATTAAAAGCTATTTGGTACAAAGATTTTACACCCAATGAGAATTTGAAGTACTAAATTACAAGCAATTTGGTTAAAAACGTCCACAATATCTCCAAAATCACGAAATTATGGGGATCCTTTATATGTGAGCTACCCTAAAAAGTGGACCAAATTTGAATATTTTTGGTAAGAACATGTGCTACAAAATGCGAACACAAAATACCAAATTAAAGCCAATTTGGTTGACGGTGAGACTAATATTATCCTATTTTGTCATCAGCATGCTATGTTAGTAAAAGTCAAAAAATTAAATTTTTTATTGCATTTTAAGATGAACACCTACTATTTTTTTTACAATCACCAATAACTTTTAAGTTAATGAACGGTCGCAGAATTCTAAACAGAGAACATATCAAGTCGCCAACTGATGCTATAACCATTAAAATATCCTCTGGCACAGCTTGGTACTAGATTCTGAATCCCAAGTTTTTTTAAATCATATTTGAAATACGTGATTGAAATTGAAAACTTAAAACGCATTTTCTTCAAAATCGTTTTTTTATTTATTCCAGCCTTGCAGCAAATGAGCGATTTATGAAATTGTTGATGGTTATCTTCAAATTACTAATAATTTCAACTTTCATTCTGAGCATTTGTTTAATTGACCGTAATTTCATTCAATTTTTCAAATATAAATTATATTCACAAAACCTAATGTCATTTGTAAACTTTTTCCTACCTGAAATGGACTTTTTGCCAAAAAGCTGGATTCCTGGCCCATAGCGTGACGGTGCAAATACGACAAAATATTGGCTAGGCTCGGAATAAGGTATATATTGCATGATGCTTTTATTTCGAAAGTAATAAAGAGGTCAATAAAATCGTGGCTTATTTGAAGCAATTGGAAGATGGATGGCTATCTTAAGATTTACTTGATTATTAAAAATCGGATGTTGAGATGTATCGCAAATATGTGAAGTCAATTTGTATCCAAATAATATCATGCAGAATAAACAAATATGTACCATCATATTATCATTTTTTTCTACTCTATTATCATGATGTTTGAATCATGATAATAAAAATAAAGGAATAGTTATTATTCCTTTATTTATATTCTGTAGTATATTATTTTTTTACTAACTAATGATCCAATGAAAATAATTTTTTATAAATATTAAATATTATGACTAAAGCAATGTCTTTGATACTTAAATTTAAGATTTTTCATAAAGTGGAGATAATAATAAATGAAAATATTTCCAAATACATATCGCTCATTTGCTGCAAGACTGGCAAAACTCAAAAAACGTGATTTTCGAGTTAATGATGCATGATTGTTCGCTATAATATAGCTCATGTTGTGTATAAAAATCACATGAATATCTCTTACACACTCTAATTGAGAAGCTGTAGAAGGTCCTCTGTCCCATATAAAGTGTGAGCAAATTGAAAAATTAAAACGCATTTTCCGCAAAATCGTTTTTATGCCTGTCTTGCAGCAAATTATGTATCTGATTTGAATTCATCGGAATCGAATTTAACATCAGAAAAATTAAACAATTCAAAAACTGTCATAGTTGAACAGTAACAACTAATCGTCTATGTAAAAACGCTCATTAGTCGTGTTTTAGCGCTGATTCAAAAATAGTTCTACATAACCGGTTCCATAAAAGAAAAGTAGTCATTCATGCCCTTTACGTCAATCTTAAAAATCGTTCAATGTCAACGTAATATATTTTTCGAATCAAAGCCATTATGATTTTCCACGAATCTTATTTTCTTTTATTTTTGCATTGAAAATGATTCATCATCGTGGACACATGAACACCTATTTTTGTCCCCCTTTCTACGTAATTCATTCAAAGGCTGTTCGGGCGTTTACTCAAACTGGCACAAACTGGTTACCTGCAAAAATGTCGATCGATTACTTTATTATCGAAACGTCATCATTTAGGTGTATACACATCAAAAGATTTGCACGTACGAATACCATAATTCGCAATGTGTTCACACGTCGAGGTATATCGTAGCGGTCAACATTACAAATAATTGTTAATACATTTGTTATAAATTTAAAAAAAAAAATAATTGCAGTTCATTCTATAACGAAGTATTTATAAAAATCATTGATTTTAATTCGACCATAATTATTACATAATTTATAAAATTAGAAGAAAAACAAATGAAATTATTTTAAAACTTTAATTGAAGACAACAAAATTTCGTAAATTTCCTAAACTAATTTTATTAAAAAAATCAATTCACATATTCTTTGAAGATTAGGGTTTGGTCAAATCTTTTGATCGTGCATACAACATCTCAGGGTGTGAACTACTCTTATGAACACGCTACACGAAATCGCTCGTGTGGGCCTACCATTTTATCGAAGTAGAAAGTAAAAATCTATTTTATACACAAAAGAGGGAATCGTGGCGTTTGCAGACTCGATCTATCTGGCAAAAAAATTCTTCGGACAAAATAAAGATCGAGATTTGGATTTGTGGTGATCGTAGAATATATTAACAACATGTCTGAAGAAACGTCAGCTGATCGCAATGTCGAAATATGGAAAATTAAGAAACTGATTAAAAGTCTGGAAATGGCCCGAGGTAATGGCACCAGTATGATATCCCTCATTATTCCACCCAAGGATCAAATATCACGTGTCAGCAAAATGTTGGCCGATGAATTTGGCACGGCCTCGAACATCAAGTCGCGAGTAAATCGTCTATCCGTCTTGGGTGCAATCACTTCGGTACAACACAGACTCAAGTTGTATACCAAGGTGCCACCCAATGGTTTGGTGATTTATTGCGGCACCATTGTCACCGACGAAGGCAAGGAAAAGAAGGTCAACATTGATTTTGAACCTTTCAAGCCCATCAACACGTCGCTGTATTTGTGCGACAATAAATTCCACACTGAAGCCTTGACTGCCCTCTTGGCCGACGACAATAAGTTCGGTTTTATTGTGATGGACGGTAATGGAGCCCTGTTCGGTACATTGCAAGGCAATACTCGCGATGTTTTGCACAAATTCACTGTCGATTTGCCGAAAAAGCACGGTAGAGGTGGTCAGTCCGCCTTGCGTTTCGCCCGTTTGCGTATGGAAAAACGTCACAACTACGTGCGCAAAGTAGCCGAAGTGGCTACCCAACTGTTCATCACCAACGACAAACCGAATGTGGCCGGTTTGATCTTGGCCGGTAGTGCCGATTTCAAAACCGAACTTGGACAATCCGATATGTTCGATCCCAGATTGCAGGCCAAGATCATCAAAATGGTGGACGTTTCATATGGTGGTGAGAACGGTTTCAACCAGGCCATTGAGTTGGCAGCTGAGTCACTGCAGAACGTTAAATTCATCCAGGAGAAGAAACTGATTGGCCGGTACTTTGATGAGATTTCTCAGGACACTGGAAAATACTGCTTCGGTATTGAGGATACGTTGCGTGCTTTGGAATTGGGCTCCGTGGAAACCTTGATCTGTTGGGAGAACTTGGACATTCAGAGATATGTTTTGAAGAGCCCTGGCAGTTCTACGGCAACCACAGTATTACATTTGACGCCGGAACAAGAAAAAGACAAATCCCATTTTACGGACAAGGAGACCGGAGTTGAGATGGAAATGGTTGAGTCAATGCCACTTTTGGAATGGCTGGCGAACAACTACAAGATCTTTGGTGCCACTCTGGAAATTATTACCGATCGGTCACAAGAAGGAAGTCAGTTTGTACGCGGTTTCGGTGGCATCGGTGGTATTCTACGCTACAAGGTCGACTTCCAAAGTATGCAACTCGACGAACTGGACAACGAGGACTTCGATTTAGATGATTACTAGATAAATTTACAACGATCCATCGGGCGCTGCTTCCACTGAAGTCCATATTTTAAGAAGTGTCTCTTCCAACAAGCCACCACTCTTCTGATAATGCCTTATTGTCATCAGATTTTATTTTATTTTAATGTTATTTGAATTCAAATCGAAAACTAAAATATACGTATATTGGAAATGGAATAACAATACAAATGTACCACACACATACGCGCGCATATCTTTTTAACATTCAATGGAAAATAAATTAAAAATTATACAAACTAGTAGCATATATATATACCGTTGAAAATGTTTATAAATATATAGGAGAACATACATAAAAATATGTTAAAAAGATGTTGTTCTCTGGCAAAAGAAATTATATATATTTTTTGTATTCAGTTCTGAAATCAAACATGTTGTAAACATTGAAAATTTTAAAAAAAACAAATTAATAGTTTTATTTGTACGAACTTTTCTAACATTTTTTCCATTAACTTCATTTTTTTATAATAAATGTGTGCAATGTGTGTTTACATTTGCATTTTCCAAATGTCTTTGTTAATCTAAAAGATGCTGTTTGACATTTGAGTAAAACACCACAACAATATATAATAATGTTAAATATATACTATATAAATTAAAAACAAAATAAATATGAGCTATGGGGTCAACTAACGAATTCATTCATTTGAAAGAATTTTGATTTTGATCATCAGTTAAATAATCTGAAACAAATAACTTAGGTTCTGCTTCGAAGAGAAAAAAAAACTTAAATAGTAGAACACAATTGAAAGACAACATGGGGGAGCACACATTTTTCAGTGGTTTAGATGAATGGAGAATGTAGTATTACAAATAATGGAGCTAAACGTTTTAAGCCTAAAGAAATGAAGAATGTTGCGTTGCATATATCGACGGCTCCGAACCATAGTATGCTAAGTCGACTTAGCATGTTTCAAAGTTCATTACGTTTTTAGATACTATGGTCCTTAATTTAAATTCACTGAAATTTTGGTAATCATCGGCCAATCCAAACCAAAGTTATAAGCAAAAATGTACTTAGCATGGCACGTACGATTAAAGAAACTTCCATACTTTGAAAGCTTCTACTGAAAAACTTACTTTTCAGACTTAGCATACTATGGTTCGGAGGCGTCGATATTTTTTTATCAAGTACGATAATAGTACTTGATATAAACAAATTTATATAGTACAGCCTGTCACTTAAATCTGTGAATTTATGCAAGTAAAATTGCATAATCTAATTCAGAATTTATGATGAGAAAGTAACAACATAGAATGGGGAATCTAGGTGTAAGACCTCTAAGTCTATCTGGCAGGTAATTTCTGAGCGGGAAAGAGATAAAGGTGACCACAGGGATCCTAACAAGTCACAGCAGAATCAGATCTTTTTTTTTTCAAAATTTGAGATAAATGAGGTGGAGAATGAAGAGTTGTCCCATGGTTCGATGTAAAAAGAATATTTTTTTTGTAGATTCGAGATTAGAACGCTAACCCTTTCCTCCGATATAGACCCCAAAAACATTGCTAGACATTTTTCATTGTTGAGTTAGCATTCTTTAACCTGTACTACTTCCTCATATCATTATCTCTTTTTTCCACTTTTCTATTCTACAACGTATTTTAGGATGATCAAAATGGACATTATGTCTCCGAGTGGGGTGACTGCCTTTTGACAACCGCGCATTCTGTAGCCTAGCCTATTTGAATTTAAATTTTTTTCGGAAAATTCCACATGAGCAGTGGTAAGTCTAACGTTAATGGTGATTTTTATAATTTTCAATTGTTATATTTAAACTAAAAGTTTCAAAATTGCATATGTTCCTGTTCACTCAACATCAAAGTTAAAATCTTAAAGTTTTTTGCTGTATTTTTACATAAACCATATTGTTTCGCAGATTGCCGCATATACCATGATTAAAATGTGTATGATCTGGTCTATCGCTAGTCGCATATTCCAAATATGGCAAGAAAACGATGTGCCTAAAAATGTCCAAACAATTTATGAAATCAAAAAAAGTTTCTATAATAATTGAAATGGGAGGATATGGTTATTTATAGTATATACCAATTCGAATGGTTTACCAGAATGCTTTGTTCCTTATCGAACATAATTACAAAATATGTAAACTTTATTTATAAATTTATTACATATTTTTATTCAAATATTTAATTATATTTATATTTATTAACCAAAAAAGAATAATGATTATAACATCGCAAACACGTAATCATTAACATAACCTACATAATATTGTCACATCATTTGGCAAAATGTTTTCGTTCACTATTTTGCTAAAGTAATTTTTATTCAGTTGAATTTTAATTTAATTTGGTTAGTGTATATACCATATTCCAGCAGTGAATAATTATTCATAATTCGCTTTCGATTGCACGTCATAAACGAGACATAGTCGATGTTGCTGTGTACCATGCTAAACGATTGATTTCGGAATCACTGTGGCCACAAAGCCTTCAGTTCCAAATCCAGAAATATATGCATGTTTCCAGATACAATCTCCGGTTAAACTTTTACAAAAGTATTGCTTTTACTACACCATCCGATTTCTCTTTAGGAGCTATTTTACGATTTTCTCTCGACTGGGTCCATTATGAAACGACTGTTTGTGTGACTTAAGACTACTGTGAGAACATAATTGGACATTGCAAATGTCATAAGTCCTTTTCCGCCGTTTGTCGGCCTCAGTATGCTGCACCATTTTATGATGTTTGAGGGCCGCTGAAACATTCATTGACTTTCCACATAAATCACAAATTTTTGGGTCATTGTGAACTTTACTGGCATGTTTTTTCAATTGAAATTCAAATGCATACAAACGTCCGCAATGTTCACATTTGAAGTCCTTCTTGCCCGCCACATGTGTGGCTGCGTGCCTTTCCAATATAGTTTTAGTTTTGAATTTCCTCTGACATACACGGCACTCATAACTTTTGATTGTTTCGTGCATAAATTGTTTGTGGTTCTGTAGGGCGGTATTGCTTTTACAATTTGCTCCACAAATATTACATTTGTATGTGTCCGGATTTGCATGTAAACGTAAATGTTCAACAAGCAAGTAACGGCGATGAATCTTTTTGTCACAGCATAATACGTAAAATTTTGGCTGGTGTTCATAGGAAAAATGTGAGCGAAGAGTATCATAGTTGGGAAATGTTTGTTTGCATAAATCGCATTCGAAATTTGGTATAAAATTCGATATAAATTCGTCGATTTCCTCTAGTTTCACTGCACTGTTATATGGTAGGTCTTTTGAAGTGGTTTCCGCTTTGGCTTTGTTTTTCCGTTGTCTAGGTGTCCTTTGCTTCCTAGATTCCGATTCTATCTCATCATTACATGATGCACTTTCTTCATTGGCAATAGGTTTTGCGTTTCGAATGGTGCAATGGTGTCCTCTTCCTTCACAAAACAGGACAGCTCTTCATCTGTAATATGTTCACTTTGTTTTGAGACAGCTTCTTTTTCCTAGCATTTGGCCATTTTTCTCCAAAACTTGTTGCTCGTAAAAGTTATGAATATGACTCCAGCAATCTATACAAAGTACATTCAAATTTAAAGGAGACTCGCCATTAGCATTGTCCAAAGCCAATAACTGGAAGCAACAGTACAAGTGAAATTAATTTATGGACATCATTCATCCTTACCATAGGATCAAAAAACTTGACTGTTATTTCGTATACCTCGGTACACTCTCCATTGTTCCCGATTAAGTTCTCGCTCCATTTAAAACAAGTTTCACAACATAGGCAACACACTTTGCTGCTCGGATTATCCATGATCTAATAAAGTATGGCTCTGTTACAGAACCTACAAGCATTTTCTATAAATCGATTTGAAGAGTTTGACCACTTTTTGAGTACGTAAGCAGACTATATAGCATATAGCAGTACAATTAGCTGTTACAACTTAACGTTTTGTGATATGTTTGTTTGGGTTTTGCAAAAATTAGGAAGAAAGTAAATATTTAACCTGTCGCACAAACAGCTGATATAAACATAAACAACATACTGGGACTTATAGTTCATGATTATATTAACAAGGTTATCCTATCAATCCTGCTGATGGTACCATTTATGCCGCATCAATTTATTTTGTTGAATTCGCCGTAAAAAAATAGTATCTTCTATAAAAAGACCTTGGGGTCGAAAAAAGACCTGGTGGTCTTCTATTTTACTTTTTGATGAGAAACATTTACCCATTTTTATCATATATGTATATGTGTTCGAAGTGTTCTGAATTAAAAAATTTTCAAAAATACTTCAAACGAATCGAGGATTGATCAAAAAATGTTTACCACTATAAATGTTTTAATTACATGACCACCACTGTATGTGTCCTCACTTTGTATCTCAAAAAAATATATCCCTTGTCTATGTGTCTATGTTTTTTATTTTAAGGTTTTTCCAGCCGACTGATTTGGTCAATATTTTTTATGGAATCAATAAAACTAAATTATTTCATTTTATACTCAACGTTTCGTTGGTCTTCTTCCAACTTCTTTACGAGTATTTTATTAGAAAATCCTAACGACAAGAAAAAATTTTTGTTGTTATTATAAATTTTGTGATCTTAATATTCTTGATATTCTACTTACAATTAGTTTTGCTTACATTTTCCAGAATTTAATAACGGCCTGATTAGAAATCTATTTATATTTTTTTTATTTCCAATATCTCTACATTTCAAATGCATGAATTTAATTATTTACATAACTATTTGATTTGTCACCTCTAGAATATTAACTTTAGGCAATTGTAATCGGTTCTTTCTAGCTTCTTCCCATTCCACCGGATGTGCTCTTTTACGGTGGTGATGCATATTAGCACTTACTTTAAACGTTTGCGGACAATGTGGACATTGATACAAGTCGACACCGGTATGCGTGGCTATGTGCTCTCTTAAGTCTTTTGGTCTTTTAAATGCCTTTTCACAATACGTGCATTTATGTTTGCGGTTTTCTTCGTGTACACGTTTCTTGTGCGCTCGTAACGCATTTTCACTAGAGGAAACTTTTCCACATATGCTACAGATATACGCCGTAGTGCCATCGTGGTGATAGGCGGCTTTGTGCCGTCGAAGATTGTTATTAGTGTTTAGTAGCGTTCCACAAATGTCACAAGGGAACTTAGGTTTTGGAACGCCAGCGTGATCCAATAAATGTTTCTTCAGGTCATTGACGCGATGGAATGTCCTGCCACATTGATCACAAACACAGTCGACACCATGGACGGTTTTGATATGTGACTTTAGTTG